TCCTAGCATATTAGCTTGGAGATGGGAGGAAGATAAAAGCAAATTTTCTAGAAGGACAGCGTAAAGATACTGGAGAATAACTAATAAAAGAGGCATCCACAACCAGTAGATAAAGAACTCAAAAATGTTGTTTAATTAATAATATAGAAAAAAACAAAAGGCAAAAGATTTTAGATATAGCACAAAAAGTGATTTGATGCCTTTGATCACTTTTGAAAACCTCCCAAGAATTTATTAAATAGGAATAAATGAGAGACAGAAATCAGTTCCAGTGTAATTAGGAAGAAAATAAAATGCCTGACTTCTAGTCCCATTCTTAGCTGTTTACTGCCTCAAGCAGGAAACCTGGATTATTTGTCGAGAAGAGATAATTATTGCCACTCACCTGACAGTAATATTGTAAAGATAAATGATATGAGCTGAGAAGGTCTAAGGACCTACTCAGCAATCTGCAATTGTCAAGAATCTGTTTTACTTCTGCTTTCAAGAATTAAGGAGTTTTCCCGCTGATAAAAGATATTCTTTTTTCTAAATAATGCAGGTAAATTGTGACCCAAATGTGTACCTGCCATCACAATTATTTGGAAAAGGATCAGTCAAATGTTTCATAACCCAATCACTCAGGAAATGTTTATATTATTCAATAGCCTCTATGGGCTATTCATTCAATATAATTATATAAAAGAAACTGAAAGCAGACTAATGTGGCACTATGGATATCTTTTAAATATAAGGTAGCCCCTGTAATTCAATTTTGGGGAGCAATAAAATAGTTTCCTTTACCTCTGTTCTCTTCTTACATGGCACCCCAAAGATTCCACATATGGTTCAAAAATGTTCTGTAAATAGTAATAATGACTACTATAATAATAATGACCTACTACACTGACAACTATAATATTTTTTATTACTTATTTTTATCTTATGTATATGAGTTTTTTGCCTGCATGTAAGTGCACTATATGCATGCAATGCTCAGGGAGGCCAGAGGAGTGTATCAGATTCTCTGAAACTGTAGTTACAGACCATTGTTAGCTATGCTGGGAACTGAACTCAGGTCATTTGGAGGAGCAGCCAGTGCTTTTGACCACTGAGCCATCACTCCAGCTCCCGGACAACCATAAGCTGAATGGTATGGTCTACTAGTTCCAGCCAATTGCTGTTCCTCCTCTTCAGATCATTTAGAAAATTGTCTAAGCACTTAATGAGAATAAATGCAGTCAGAAATGAGCCTTACACAATTTCCTAGACTATTGGATATATATATATATATA